TGCCCTGGACTCCTGAAATGCTGTTTCTTGGCTTCTTGAAATATGTTCTCTTCTTATTGGGGGAAAAAAAAAAGTCAGTCTTCAAATCAATGCCATCTGCAACCACTGGGTTTAGGACAGACTGTCAACATCTGCCCCTTGGCAACACGTGGAATTACATGTCTCCAGGGAGGGACACATATTTCAAATCTGTAAACTTCACCTTGGCAAGGAATCAAATGATACTAGAGACACTTCACTGTTGGTGGGAGTGTCAAACAGGTGCAGCCACTCTGGAGAACAATATGGAGGTTCCTAAAAAACTAGAGTTACCATATGATCCTGCAGTCCCACTCCATGGCATATATCAGACAAAACTATAATAATTCAAAAAGATATGTGCATTCCCATGGTCACTGCAGCACTATTTACAAAAGCCAAGACATGGAAGCAACCTAAATGTCCATCAGCAGATGAATGGATAAAGAAGATGTGGTTCCATATATAATGGAATATTACTCAACCATAAAAAAGAATGAAATAACACCACTTGTAGCAACATAGATGGATCTAGAGATTAGCTACTAAGTGAAGTAGGTCAGACAGAGAAAGACAAGTATCATATGGTACCACTTAAGTATAGAATCTGATAAAAGATAAAACTGATGCTGCAGAAATCCAGAAGAGGACATGACTCTTGACGTACCATCACCTGCCAGCTTCAGATGCAGCCAACTCTCCTAAAGCAGGTTTTACAAGAGTCCCAGGTTGCTATGAGGTGCTGACTGGCATCTTCACCACACTTGGATTTACCAGAAAAGAGAGAGCAAAACTGTCGGGATCAGTGGCCCTAATTTTTTTTCAACTCAAGTTTTTGAAAGATGGCATTTCAGGCAGCAGATTGCCCAGGCTTTCCCCAGGGTGGGAAAGACCAAGCTAATTTGGAAGGTTCCATGACCAGGAGACACAGGAGGTCTTAGAGTAAGGAGGATTTGGGCAAGTAGTCTGTCAGGCAGCAACTACCCCTGCCGTCTTCTATTTACATAGGGGAGGAAGACTTCACATTAGTACTTCACTCCCCTTTATACAAGACTGAAGGTGCCATATATCCTGTTTTCACCAAGTTGGAAAATAGTGATTATCTCTTTCCTGACATTTATTAAGCTACTGGACCTCCTTTTCCTAAGACAAGGAGAAAGAAGCAAGATTAAAAAGCAAAAGAAAAAAAAAAGAGGACTTCCCTGGTGGTCCAGTGGTTAAGAATTCACCTGCCAATGCAGGGGACACAGGTTCGATTCCTGGTGTGGGAAGATTCCATCTACCATGAGCAATTAAGCCTGAGAACCACCACTACGGAAGGCTGCACACCTAGAGTCCACGCTCTGCAACAAGAGAAGCCACTGCAATGAGCAGTCTGTGCACCAAAACTAGAGAGTAGCCCCCTCTCACCACAACCAGAGAAAGCCTGCACACAGCAACAAAGACCCAGCACAGCAAAAATAAGTATTTATTTTTAAGGAAGGAAGCAAAAGAGGAAATACCTTATGGTCAGTTTGTGACTACAGGAGTTTCCTATAAGTAGGGCTGACATCATAGAAAGTGGCAGGACTGATCAGGCTTGCTGGCCCATCCTCCTCTCACCCACCCCACCCCCCACAACACACACAGGGTGTGGATTAAGCCCAGTCACCTTCCAAAGCAAACCCACATGCCCTTCCCATCCTAGAGGGTGGGAATCCAGCAGTTAAAGGTTGTGAACTAGACTGCACTGGGAGTCACGAAGTGGGAAAAGAAGAGTTAAGAATCTCCCAAGCCTGGGGACAAGGACAGAAAGCCCTACAGACCCCTCACTGAACAGTAACTGTGACCCAGTGTGCTAGAGAAGAGCCAGAACGTGTCTGTCTCATGGATGGAACTAACAGAAAGCCACACGTAAGGAGCCCTTGGATGTCTGTTTTCCTCCTCTGGATGTTGCTGGAATATGCTTTTAGCTGCCAATAATGACCAGTGCTGAATGATATATATGGGAATAGTTTTCACTCTTTTCTCAAGTTTTGTTTGCTGTTAATTATAATAAAGCTAGTAGTGCTTTCAACATTTCATATATAAAAATTATGAGGACTTCCCTGGTGGTCTAGTGGTTAAGAATCCACAATGCAGGTTCGACCCCTGGCTGGGGAACTAAGATCCCATATGCCACATGCCACAGAGCCACTAAACCTGTGCATTGCATCTATGACCTGATGCAGTGAAATAAACAAATAAATATTTTTTAGAAAGTATGATTGAAAAAGGAAAACTAAGTAAAACCCCCAAAAGGAAATGTGGATCTAAGACAAAATAGATTGAAAAGGATCATAAAAATCCAATCCTTTAGAAATACAGTAAGAACCAAATTCATGTCATAGAAATATATTTAAAAAGTAAAGGGGCCTAAATACCCAAAATACCAAAAGGAAAGAAAGCCAAGGGGAAAGGCGGTCATGGGCCCTGTCATTTTTGAAGGCAAGAGACCAACAAGCAGTAAATCCCTGGGCTTCCCGGGTGGTTCAGAGGCAAAGACTCCACCTGCCGATACAGGAGACAAAGGTTCGATCCCTGGCCCAGGCAGATCTCACATGCCAGGGAACAGCTACGTCTGTGTGCCACAAGTGCTGAGCCTGTGCTCTAGAGCCAGGAGCTGCGCCCAGCGAGCCCACAGGCCACGAGCGTGAAAAGCCCACACGCTCTAGAGCCCGCGCGCCACGAGAAGCTGCTGCCACGAGCAGCTCCCGCACCGCAGCTGGAGAGGAGCCACGCCTTCTGCAATGACAGAGGCAGCAGTGAAGACTCAGCACAAGCAAGAGCGAATTAATTATTCTTTACAAAGTAGCAGTAAACCCTCTATTTGAAAATGGTAAAGAACCTTGGATTTTGCTCGCAAATTTAGCCTAAATGGACTTTTTCACATTTTTAGATAGTCCTGTTATAACCATCCCCAATGACAAAGATCTAGCCTCTCTGCAGGTATCTAGTTCATCTTGCCCTGGGACCAAACAAGCTGGTCTAATTAGTGTTCCCTACTATCTCTTCAAGGAAAAGGTTAGACCAGGTTACACAGTCCCCAGGAGGGGCTTCACCAGCCCCGCCTTCACCAGTTCAACTGGAAAAGATAACAGTGCACTGGCTGAGCTGGCAGAGGTTATCAGAACTAAATCCAGTGATAACTGTGATGAGATCTGACATCACTTGGAGGCAAACTGAGGGGGAAAAAAGGCTCAGGAGCTTGCCACAAAACTAGCCTAACATGTCTGTAAATAAAAATCTTAACATCTCTGTAAACAAAAATAACATATCCCCTTAAAGCAAAATAGAAAGCTACAGAGGCATTAGACCCAGGGAACAAGATCTACCACATCACTTCCTATCCTACCCCAAAGATGATGAAATAAAGTCACACACACAAAAAGAACTTTGGAAGATTTGAGACCTCACTAAAAATTAATGTTGTTTAATTAGAAAATGTTGGGAAATCTACTTTGGTGTGTTTTTTGTTTTGTTTGCAGGTTACATGTATTTATTTATTCACTTTGGCTGTGCTGGGTCTTCATTGCTGTTGAGGGCCTCTGGTTGCGGTGAGTGAGGGCGCCTCTCTTGTCTCCGCCACAGGCTTCAGTAGCTGCAGCTCCCGGCGGTAGGGCACCAGTTCAGTAGTCATGGCACAGAGGCTTAGCTGCCCCTCAGCGTGTGAAATCTTCCCAGGCCACGGATGGAACCCACGTTCCCCACGATGGCAGGCAGGTTCTTAACCAGTGGACCACCTGAAAAGTGCTACTTTGCTATGGTTTATCCCGGAAGCAGCAGTTTCCCACTTTAACCAGGGAGCAGCAGTAAACTTCCCATTCTGAATCACTGATTCTACTAGGAGTCAGAATGAAGAGGACCAGGTGATTCCATGACTTTGGTTAGTATTACAACCCGTTAGGAAAAACTTCTGTGAGTGGATCATTGCTGGTGTTTTGAAAGAAGCTTATAATGTCAGGACGATTTTAGCAGCAAGGACGTGTTTTTGTATGTCACATCCTCAAAGCCACTCAAACTGGCTCTGAAAAATAAAGCAATGTATTATCTCGCGTAATGAGAAATTGGGAGGCAAGAGAGTTCAAGTCCTCGGGTCTCGACAATGTCAGGAGGCATCCTTGCTCTTTCCCGTCTCTGTGCTGCCTCCTCAGCACATTTGCGCTTTTGTTCTCAGGATTGTCCCCCTCATCTAACAACAGGGGGAAATAAGCCACTCTGTATTACTAGAAATGGTCTAAGTCACCTTCTCTTGTGGCTCTGCCCCAAATTCACAAGCAGTTAGGGAGCAGCAGGGAGGAAAGAGCAGCCTCAGACATGCTGCCTAAAGAGTTCCTTTATTATGTCATCAAAGTTGATAAAACTGGCAAAATAAACAAATACTGTCTTTCAACAAAAGCTAAATATGGTTGCCCCAAATGACTAAAATAATACAACAGCCAATAGTTAAACTTTCTCTTCATATACTATCATCGTATGTACACCTCCTTCAACCTGATTTAATTTTTTTGTTTTGGCTCTGTATGGTCATCACTGCTGCTCGGGCTTTTCTCTCCTTGTGGTGCGTGGGCTTCCCATTGTGGCGGCTTCTCGTGTGGTGGAGCACAGGCCCCAGGGCGCAGGGGTTCAGTGGCTGCAGCTCCCGGACTTCACAGCCTCAGTACTTGTGCCGGACAGGCTTAGCTGTCTTCTGCAGTGATGGGTGGATTCACCAGGGAAGCCCAACCTGTAACTTTTATGGAGTATTTCATTCTGCTTAAGACCATACTATATTAATCACAATTTATTTACATTACTCTGATAGTGCATGTACAAAGAATCATCTCTTAAATATTTAAATACCATTAGAACGCAACTTTGATCTTCTGGGGAAATTCCCCATTTCAACTCAATGAAAAATATCCATTATAATTACACATTTTATTCTTTTTGGAGTAGGTCATTGCCAGACCTCTTGGAATATTTCACTCTTTTCTACGAAAGTGTATGCGACTCATAAGTTCTCTGAACTTCAGCATTAAGGAGTAGTTATTCATGTTCTCTTTCCATGTTTCATAAGACCTTTTAAATTTGTCATAATAACTTTCTTTTTTCAAGTTGAAATCTGATCCATTTTTTTTTAAATAACTGTCTTTTTTCCATATTTCTCTCCAGGAGCCTTTCAATTTTTCCAAATAACTTTCTTTTTCAGAGTCTTCCTTCCATATTCCTTCTCCTTTTTTTAAGGCTGTTAATTCAGCTTTAAGTAAATTTCTGTGAATTCTCCAATAGATTTTAGAATCATGACTTAACCCCTTAACAAGAACAGTTTTGCCAAGACCTCTTCTCAGGATTTCTTCATTCAGACTCACACTAAAAAATCGACCCTTGAATAAAAAATACAAACCAATTATTTAATAAAATTACTAATATACCCATAATACCTTATTTACTTTAAAATCAGTCAATCTGCAATTTGAGTCCTCCAGAGAAAAGTCAAAAATATAAATGATGGGACTTCCATGGTGGTACAAAGGTTAAGAATCCATGCTTCCACTGCAGGGGGCATGAGTTTGATCCCTGGTAGGGCTCCCACATGGCATGTGGCATGGCCACAAAATATACATATATATATATATATATATATATTTACACATACACATACATATACATACATATGCAAAGGGGTCCTTAAGAGCTTAAAACAGCTAATGTTAAATCCAAGAATTTCATTACTAGATGAGACCTTTGCTCAAAGACAACTGACTCTTCTATAACACATAGTTCTCCACAGGCTCACTGGTCACCTAACTCAAAAGTGTGTAGAAGCGATAAAGTATGAAAAGAGATCTTTGATTTTTTGGTTGATGTTTGAAGGGAGAATGGAGCACACACCAGTTAGGAAAACTGACAGGGGGCCACAGCAAAAGAAATTAACAAAACTAAAAAGTAGACAAATGCAACATGAACTGAAGCATCACAGAACTGTTAAATTATGTTCAGAATTTCAGTGTTTAGCAAGGCCTGGCATGTAAGAATGTTTTTAAAAGATGGCCCATAAAATAATGGACATAAAAATAGCCCTGGCCCTTGAATCTTCAAACTTCAGGAAATTTTAGTTATACCTCACCGCCTAGTGAAACCAGAAAAATGGGAGCTTTTCTCCCCTTACTAATTTACAGTGTAAAAGAGATCCTGCTTAGCTGTTTCCACAGTCCCTGTAGGATTTTAACTTAACAAGATTAATTTTAACAAGGTGTTAGTAATTTTATAGCTTCATTAGACTAGTAATTCACAGTTAAAATTTTTTAATGTGAAAACAAAAGGTTTAAAGTAGGAAACATTTTCTAAGATTATCTAAAAGAATAAAGGAAACTTCTGTTCCTTTAAGTTCAGTAACTTTTGGTACATGATGATAAGCAGCTAATAAATACAATTTTAAAGGGTATATCATATTTGTCTCAATCTTTTAAATTTAATGAGCTGAACCAAAATCAGAATAATTAAAATTCAACCTCACACTACAGAAAAGTTGAACAGGAGAAGTAAATTACTGAAATATGCGTAAAGTATCGTCTGGTATAAGGTAAAGACAGAAAAGGTGAAGTTCCAGCTCAGAGCCCCAAGGAGCTGGACTTCAGTACCAGCTCTTCTACTTGGTTACTCAGAGTCCCACCTTTAAATGGGAATTAAATTATTCCATAGCGGGGTTTGAGAATAAATAATACATATTATGCAACTCAAAAGAGAAGTTAATATTTGAATAAGGCCTTTGGGATCTTTTATATAATATTATCAACTTAGTTAAATACAGATGCTTCAACCAATCAAAGTTGGATAATTCTTATTTTGAAAGAACTGAATGTGACCTGGACATGCAAAAATTAATGGATTTCATTAGGCATTCTATTAATTCAAAAAGCTTTTAATAATTAAAATGGTTATAATTCTAATCACTTTAATGTCAGATTATTATTTTTCTTCAGATTATTCTCACTTGTAGTATAATGAAAAACTTTACAAGTAAGAAAAACTACCCTTAGTGCTGTCATAATAATGTAAATAAGAAAAACAATTCTTAATTCTGTCACATTAACATGTCAACTACTTCATTTGTCCATGTCCTTGTTTCAGTCCCTGGGGTCATAAAGAGTTCGACACGACTGAATGACTAACACTTTCACTTTTTACTTATGCATAAATAATAAGAATAAAACATTGCTAGTTGTTTCTTCACACTACTTACCTTATTCACTAAAAGGTAGCAAAAGAGTGCTGAATTCTCCTTTCCAAGAAGTTGGAACCATAGTACTTGGGAAGGTTTTAGCTCTTTCTGTAACCACACCTTCCCAGTTTCAGTAAGTTCTACTCCAGCCAACTTAACCAGCAAAACACCACACGGCTCTTCTAAAAAGGTTAGGTAGAAAAGAGTTTACCTTTAATACCACAATTGCAAAAGCAAATTCCAAAGTCATTTGCACTCCACAACACAACTGGATATGTTACTTATAAATACCCAGACTCTCTAGATGTAGGTCCATTTATTTCTATAGTTAACTTGTCTTTTAAAACAATACAAGTAGGTAACAGATGGAATAATTTCAAAAACTCATTTCAGTAAGCTCCAGAACAGGATGTGGGGTTTAACCAATTTACCTTTCTTTAAAAAAATCTTCCAGATTTATTTCTATGTACACATACACATAATGCTACAAGTCATGTAGTTCAATAATATAGGCTCCTACTATCAATAAAACCATATAAACTGCTTTTTCACTTAATTTACTGAGGCTGTTTTCCCAACTCAATATTAATATCAACATTATTTTTATACAGTTTATAAAACTGATTTCCAGATAGCATTTTATCAATTTATATTAAAAGTAATAAAGTCCATCTAGTCAAAGCTATGGTTTTTCCAGCAGCCATGTATGGATGTGAGGGTTGGACCATAAAGAAGACTGAGCGCTGAAGAACTGATACTTTCAAATCGTGGTGCTGGAGAAGAGTCCCTTGGACTGCAAGGAGATCAAACCAATCAATCCTAAAGGAAATCAACCCTGAATATTCATTGGAAGGACTGATGCTGAAGCTGAAGCTGCAATACTTTGGCCACCTGATAAGAAAAGCCGACCCAGTGGAAAAGACCCTGATGCTGGGAAAGACTGAGGGCAACAGAAGAAGGGGACAGCAGAGGATGAGATGGTTGGATAGCATCACTTACTCAATGGACATGAATTTGAGCAAATTCTGGAAGACAGTGGAGGACAGAGGAGCCTGACAGACTGAAGCCTGGACTTCAGGGGTTGCAAAGAGCCAGACACGACTGAGCAACTGAACTGAACTGAACTGAGAGGAGCCTGGCGTACTACAGTCCATAGCGTCACAGAGTCGGACATGACTGAACAACATAGCACTAAGAAAGCTTGTTTGGGCAAACTCTGGATAAAATTTTAACCAGTTAAACTTTAATAACAGGATCTTATTTTAGAAAAAGTTGACAACTTCCCAAAAAGGGAAAATGGCTGGCAAAAAAAAAAAATGTTAACGCCTTTTTTTAAAAGAAAGTATACATTTAACATATATTAAACTCACAAAAGTATTGACAGTTGAAAGTATAAAGTTAGTCCATTTAATTGTTAGGGAAAAAGTAACACGTGAGTTCAGAAAGATATCCTAGAAGTTTGTCATGATATTATTTGATGATAGAAAACCATTTTCTTTAAGGCTTGGGTTTCTTGAGACCCTAGAGTTTCAAAAGGTATAAGTAGGAGGATTATGTCCTTGAAAACTCTGTGATACAGTATATTAGCAAATTAGATTAAGGCAGAACACACATAATAAAGATTAGATGAAATCAAATCACTAGTACCTAATGAGTGAAAGGAAGCCTAAAGATTCTGAGGCCTCTCTTCAATCCTTTAATGCTGCTATCAACACCAATTGTCTTTCAATAAAATATCCTCTAGTCTTTAAGACCAAATCTTTAGGACCAAAAACATGAATCTAATCAATACTATCAACCTTGAGTACTGAATGTCCTAATTCTTCACTTCAACAAAGGTGATGGGATTCCTTTAAAATTAGCAAAGTCCCCATTAAGCATTTATAATATGATATGGTCAATACCAATGTAAACATAAATTTTCCAGAAACTAATCTACTGAAAAAGGTAAGTTATATCCATCAAATATTTTTGCCCAGTTGATGTTTTCTTGAAAAAGGAGAGGTTACTTTTAATATTTATGATTTCAGCTTTGTGTGAATCCCTGTCTTTCTAGCTCTTCAATAAATCTTTTACATATACACTTTTAAAAAGCCTAATTCATACTGGATAGGATGACACAATGCCAAGGATTACAAGGGTACAACAAAACAGGCTCCAGTGGGGGAGTCCAATAGCACTCCATGAAAAGTGTACAGCTTGGGTTTTGCAGAATGAACAGAGAGAGGTACGCGGAGGAATAGGAAGTGAGCATGTCAAGTAAGGGAAAGACCATGGGCACCTGGAGAAAACTGCAGACATAAGATGAATACTGACGCAAACCACCACTGAGGAGTTTGTTACATTTATGTTCTATCAGATGGGTAGAAAACTTCACAACTTAATATTCCTAAGGTTTTTAGAAAGATAGTACTTGATCCCAAAACAACTGATTCATCCCCTAGATTTACAGAATATTAAAAATCAGGAAGTTCCCTGGTGGTTTAGTGGTTAGGATTCTGCACTTTCATTATGGAAGCCTGGGTTCAGTCTCTGGCCTGGGAACTCAGATTCCACAACCTCACAACAGAAACAATAAATGACTGAATAAATAAATATTATAAATGGGTTCATGACAGTGGACAATTTCATGAGATAGGTATATCATATATATATAAAAGACTATGTTTTACCACTAGGAACAGGAGAAGCATTGAAATAATATCACTAGACTGCAGGTTTTCTGACTACCGTAGGCTCACATCCGTTTGCCACTGTATACTGAAACTGCAGCAAAAGAGCAGGTGTTCAATAAACATCTACTGAAGAAATGAAGTGTTCTAAGAGTTTCACTTCATAAAAATGTTCAGCTTTGTGTGTGTTTGCCTCATCATATACACCAAAGATCAGATCATGGAAGGAAAGGCTATCACAGAACAGTCATGAGGAAGGAGTCTTGGAAATGTTATGATTCTCTTGTTTGATAGTGGTGGAAACAGAACACAAGCTCTCTACACCAAACACGTTTGACTACACCATGCAGACTCTACTCTGATGTAGTTATCTGAGCCCAACAATTTGGTTAGAATGGCCTCAATTTGGGGGCCCTGAATCTTAGCCCTCCTTACAATAAAATCAAAAGTCCATCTCTATCCTATAGACCAGGTAGTAAAAACAGTAAAAGGAACATAAGGAGCTTTCAACTAATAGCTATTCTTAAATGAACAAGATTATGCTCTAACATCTTATCATGCCATTCAAAATAGTGCTTGGAAAGCAACTTCTAGATTCAATAACCGTTTTATAGGTAAACAGGTTTAACCAATGTAAATGCAAATTGATCTCTTTAACATGAACAATTTGGGGACTTTTCTGGTAAGAAACTGCCTTGCAATGCAGGGGACACGGGTTCGATCCCTGGTCAGGGAACTACGATCCCACATGACTAAGTGGGACAAACTAAGCCTGCATGCTTCAACTAGAGTCCGCATGCTGCAACTAAGACTTGACGTAGCCAAATAAATAAATATGTTTTTAAATGAACAATTTATGTCAGTTACAAAAAGTATTAACACTATCATTACATTTATACTGGTTAGCATCTGTCGGTGTGTCTGTTTCTTTAACTTTTGCAATTCTATACACAAAGTTGTAGACTGGGTAGCAAAGAATCTGTTTTCTATCTTTAATTCCATCAACTGTTAGGGAGATGGCTGCATACATGGCCTTTAACTTCTATAGAAAATATTAAAATAAGTAGGGGAAGTAAGTTTCCTTTTAGCTTTAAAATTTTGATTGTACCAAGTTGATAAACATTATTATTTGATATATATATTAATAATACACTAATAATATGTATGTATAGCAATTAGAGTGCTGTGGCATTGTACACCTTTCAGGACAGATGCCTGGTGAATACCAACCCTGGAGTTATGCAATGTACCACCTGGACAATCAAAAGTGATGGCCTTGCTGCCTAAGCACTAAAAAATCACCACTATTTCTGACAGAAGAAATTTAAATTACTACTGCATTATTACAACTGAGAAGTATAAACCATGCTTAAAGCTGAGATGGCCAACAAATAAACATCCCAAGTAATCTTTCTTTAGGGAACAACAGTCATTCAAAGTGTGGAAGTTCTGCTTGATTTGTTAAGAAATAAAATCAATCATGTCAGGTGTGCTTGAAGGAAAAAAATCAATCTTATTTCTTTGTAGCCATATGTCAATTGAACAGTGATAGTCATTCATCTCAGGGTAAAGAAGGTACTTTCTTTAAAACATTAAAATAATATTAAGGAGATCTTTAAATATGACTCAATTAAATCATTTGACAATTTTGCCAAGTCTCTGTTGGCTAAAAATTATTTTTCCAGGGACTGTGAATAATTAGATAAGAAAAGTTCCCTGCCCACTAGGGGCTCACAGTTCAATAGAAGGATATAAACCTAGATACATTAATTACAGGAAAATGTGTTTTAGTACTGTAATTGCAGTATGTATAAATTGCTTGGGGCATAGGAAAGAAAGAGGCCAGTTCTGCTGGGGAGTTAAGGAGAGCTTCACAGAAGAGCTGATGTTTGAGCTAGATCCTAAAGAATCCACAGATTGGGACTTCCCTGGTGGTCCAGTGGCTAAGACTCCATGCTTGCAGTGGAGGGGGTAGAGGTTCAATCCCTGGTTGGGGAACTAAGATGACACATGCCACGTAGTAAAGAAAAAGAGAAAAATCAAACAAAAAGAATCCACAGACACTCAGGCACTCTGGGCAAAGATCTATGCCCAAGCATGAGAACCCAGGAAGCAGCAGGAAGGTCTGTGGCTGTTTGTGGTCTTCGCTGAGAAGCAAGGAGAAAGGGGGATTGCAGCAGCAAGCGCTGGACTCTGCCCAATTCTCCAACCTCTTTGGTGTCTCCTGTCCCCTTCTTCCCTATGATGCAGCCATATGAGCCTTCACGTGCCTTACCAAAAGACCTGGGCTCATCCCCACGCATGTTCTTCCTAGCCAGCTCCTTCCCACTCTCCAGGCCTCTAATGAGGCCTTTCTCTGACCACCACATATGTGGATTCCCTCTTCATAGAAGCTGCAGTAATGCTCATCCTACACCCTGATCCTTTTATTCATAGACCTCAGGACAATTTTTCATTTTTTTGTTGCCCATCTTCCACCTGAACTGTAAGCTCCAAGGGCTAGAGTGATC